TGGTAAAATGAAGTTGAATGACGTCTCACTGAACGACCCTTTTTGGTTGATCCATCTACTCGTAATGATTTTGTTGAAGGCAAGAATCCTACTAGTCAGATTAACATATTTTTCAATGACATTCATGAAAATGAGATTATCGCTGCATTATAAAAAACTTAAGAATAGGGTAACGGCTGGCCCAGACAACATCCCCTCGTTCATAGTCAAAGATTGTATTCATGTCTTTGTTAAGCCGTTATTAAAAATATACAATCTGTCTATAGAAACCAACACATTCCCTGACATTTGGAAACTTTCTAGAGCGACACCTATTTTCAAATCAGGGGATAATACTGATATTAAAAACTATAGAACGGTGGAAATATTGTCGAATTTCTCCAAATTGCTGGAGATAATATTGCATAATAGAATTTACTCCAAGTTCATAGATCTCTGTCCCCTTTTCACCATGGTTTTCTTACTAAGAGATCCACAGTAACTAATTTAACAATTTTCACTCAGTTCGCTATTGAATGTGTCGATCGGCAAGGTCAACTAGATGTACCTAGTATATACCGATTTTGCTAAAGCGTTCGATAGGATGGACCATGTCACACTTTTGAATAAACTTTTTTATTATGGATTCCATGCATCAGCTTTAGCACTCATTCGCAGTTATCTTCATGAAAGGAAGCAATATGTTACCTTTAATGGACTCAAGTCGTACCAGTATATAACTAAATCGGGAGTGTCTCAGGGTTCAAAGCTTGGTCCTTTATTGTTTACCATATTTATTGATGATGTTGTGCATTATTTAAGTTGTAATAAGCTCGTCTTTGCGGATGATTTAAAATTATTCAGGATTATTGAGTCTGAGACTGATTGTATTGCACTTCAGCGTGATACGAATTCTCTAGTGGCTTGGTGTGACGAGAATAATTTATTTCTTAATGCGTCTAAGTGTAGTGTAGTAATCTTTTACAGGAAAACTTCTGCTTGTAAATTTAATTATAAAATTGGGGATGCTTACATAAATCGTTATAACTATAAGGATTTGGGTGTAGTTTTTGACCATAAACTTAATTTTTCACTCCACATAGCTCAAAAGGTGAGTGAAGCTTCGCGGGCGTACGTTTTATTGTGAGAAACTGTAGAAGCTTTAACCGCCCAGAGTCACTGTTTGTTTTGTATTCTGCATATATTAGATCGAAATTGGAATATGCATCGTTAATTTGGAACCCAACTTACAACTGCTACATTGATTGTCTTGAGCATGTTCAGAGAAAGTTTCTAAAATTTTTATCTTTTAAAGTTGACGGTATATATCCTGAACGTGGTATATCTGAAAGTTTGTTATTGTCTAGGTTGCAAGTGCAGTCTTTAGAACTGAGAAGGAAGCGTGCATCAATTATATTCTTGCATAAACTACTGCACTATCAAATTGATGCTAATGGGATTGTGGCTCAAATAAACTTTAACGTTCCATCTATTCAAACTCGTACAGCTAAAGCATTTTATTGTGACAGGGCTCGCACAAATTTGTTTTTGACGGCACCCATATATGTGATGTGTGAAACTTTCAATGCAATATCAAATTATTGTGATATACATGCTGACAGTTTGAACAGCATTCTGGGAGTAGCTAGACATTGCTTGGATAATTTATGATATGTTACTCACCTGAGTGAAATACAGGTATGTATTTTTGTTTCTTTTTCTTGTTTGTTTTTTTCTTATATGAAATCACCTGCTTTTCTGTATTTTCTGTTCTTGTTATTTTGATTTATCTTAGGATTGTCATGTAAATGGTTTCCTTAACTGTTGGGCAATAAACGCTATTTATTATTATTTATTTATTTATTTATTTATTCAACTTACGGGCGAACCCATTATACATGTGTATTATAAATAGAAAAATGAACCGTAAACGTCGCGTAAGTGGCGCTACATATTATGTGGTAACAGTAACATATAATAGTATATAAGGCAATCAACTGAGATTAACATAATCATCTGCGAAATTTAATACAGATGTTCAAATGAGGAAATGCAGTAATCTAGTAATCATAAATTCAAATATTACAAAATCAAAACACTACTCAAATGTAAACATAGACTTTTATAAATTTCTAACAATATAATTACTCGAATTATACAAATCAAGCCAACTACTGTGTTCATTACATAGTTTAGATAATCTAAAAACAGGAGAATGATTTATCAGATCTGATTTAGGAGGCATAACATGAAAATAAACATTATTACGTCTTAACATTCTTGGTGGCACATAAAATCTGAATTTTGACAATAAACTGAAACTAGCAATAATGTTATTAAATAAATTATAAGCAAATAAAACATCATTCCTGTTCCTAGCACTTTCAAGCGTTGGAATCATAATTTTGTTTGAAATATATGTGTGTAGTTGTGATCGGTAAAATTCATTGGCATACCAGTTCTGTATGCAACATATCTTAAAAAGACATGATTGGCTCTTTCAAGAGAATCTATTTGATATTTAAGATAAGGATTCCAATGAATTGAAGTCTTTAATGTAATTTAGCAATGAATTTTGAAGATTATCAACAAATTCTCTGTAGTAATCAGAGGTTGAAAGGGGTGGTATATAGACCACACTAATAAAAAATGACTTTGCATGAGTTTTTATACGCACAATAACTTGTTCATAAGAGTTATTAACTAAAATAACATTTAAACACTTAATAAATTTTTTGACTGCAATCAAAACACCACCACCAGATTTCTTCACACTTGTAAATAAAGACCTGTCACATCTGTACAAAGTAAAATCTTGGAGTTGTAATCCAGCAGTAGTAATGTCTTCATCAAGCCAAGTTTCAGTCAAAACTATAATGTCATATTCATTAATAAGACATAATCTGGAGTAAAACTCATCAAGCCTTCCTCTGACACTACGAATATTTTGGTAAAAGATCCTCAAATTATGGTAACTATCATATAGTCATTCAGTATCTTCATTATTTTCATTTAATTGATTATCAGCAACAATAGATTTAACAATCGTTGGTTTACCTCTGATACGTTTAATTTTTAAATCCTTTTCTCCCTTGTCAGATCTATGCTTCACTTCATTTTTAAGTTTTTGCATCTAAGCTTGCTGTTTTTTTGTAAGATCACTACTGACAAAAACATTATTTTTAAAAATTTCACTACTATGATGATAAATCCAGTGTACATTATCAGAGGATTTCATAACAACTTTGACTAATCTATTCTTTCCTTCAACAAAATCACGTCCAAGTCGAAAAACTTTAAGATCATCAAAGTTAAATGGAATAACAAGCTTTGTATCCTCGAGCAGTTTCTTTATTTTCACAGAATCAGTAGCAGCTGCGTTCACTGAGTCATCAAAGTTATATATAATAAAGTTCTTCTCTCTATTCATCCTATCTTTCATTTCATCATATAAAGACTCACCAGTAACAATCTTTTCAAGTGTATCAACCTTTTTTTCAAGTTCTGTTAGCTTGTTGCTGGAGGATTGAATATCTGAGTTAATTGCACTCAATGACGCATCTACTTTGTCAAGCCTTTTCAAAATAAGTTGAAATCCAGGATCTAGTCCAGCATAATCTTCATCATGAACTTGACCACCAGTACCACAACAGTAATTATAACTTCCATCAGGCAACAACTTTGCCCTGTTGCCACATGACTTATGATAATATATAGAGCAAGATTTACATTGAACGGCATTTTTCAACAGAATAGGTCCCTTGTCAGGACACATCAGACATTTACTCATGATGATGAAGCCAAAGTTAAGAACAGTAGGCCTGATCAACAATGCATAATATGCTACTCAAGCTGCACCAGATACAGCGCATTCCAACACGTGTTCGAAAACACGACTTTTAATCGTGATTTCTGGTGTTACCTCCGCTATCCCATTTATTTTACTCGTAAACACAATAATAAAAAAACTGAGCTACTAGTACTTGTATTCTCACAGAATGTGTCGCAAAACAGTGACTGCTTACGTTGGTTCGATATAAAATAAAGAAGATTTCAAGTAACTTCGTTTAAGCAGATTGCATGCAGGTCTCACTTCAGAGGATTGTTAACTGCACTTATTACTAATATTTGCACGAAAATTCCAAATTTTTTGGCCACTTTTTACCACCACCATTATTATTATTAAGCCAAGGTCCTAGTAAAACTCTATCAGAAAAACATCTTTCGGCTGTAATTAACTTTTGAATCTCTATTACAGTTGAATATTTCATTTTATTACATCTATTTTCATCATATTGATCCATCTATAATCAAACAAATATTAACGTTCTGTGAGCACCCTTTTTGTTCATGTTAATGTGTTCGTAACTGGCTTTCACCGTTCTCAGAATAGTTTTCGTTGAAGGCTTTATGGGTTGCCCGATGGTTCAGCCGCTTACAGATGTTAGTAACTTGATATTTATTTCAAAAGTAAACTGCCAAATAGTTTCTTAAAAAATGCACAGAAGTGTATCGTCATGTCATAATCTGAAAGTTTCGTGCTAACATTGACGGAACGCATCAAATGTTCCATTTTCGTTGGCATGGTAGCAACCTCGTGTGGAAATTTCATTAAAATCCGGGCGCTACCTCTCATCTCATGTTATACACCTAGATGCGATTACAGTACTGGCCCAGTGGCGTCGGAAGTAAGAAGAAATCGGCATCCCAAATTAACCCAAAGAACAGCGTGTCGTACGTTTGTGGCAACGGATGGCGTAAATCGGAATTTTGCATACAGAAACTTTTTGAAGTTTGGAGGTATAGCACTGAAGAAAATTTTCAAAAACACTTATGTATCTGCAGTTTCTACCAAAACGCGTTTCTTTGGTAAATTGGGTGCGAGATTACGAATGTATTATGGAAGGTGTAATTTTTGAACTCGAATTAACGATTTCCGACGATTTATCATTGTCTTATTGCCTTATTGAAAATCAGTGTCGCTGATAGAGGGAATGGAAAGTTTGCTTTGATACATGCGCCCTAAACCCCCCCCCCCGCCCCACTCGTTGCAGTTCTGCGTCAGACCGCAAGGATTTTACGAATAAAAAATAGTGTACCTATAATTAAAATCGCATTTATTTCAAATACAAAAGAAATAAACATATAAAATATACTAACGCTAATTATGGCTGAATCTCAACCTACCTATTGTTTTAGCAAATAATACGACGTTATAGATTTAATAACACGCACTAACATAGCGGCCTCGAAACATGATAGTATTTTTAAAACAAATTCATAATTAGTAACGTTACTACTTTTGTCATATCACTTAGCCTAAACATATTGATACGATGTGTATAAAAAATAATGATTTTTTACATACCAATTATTTGCCGAAATATGGAGGATATGATACAGTTCGGCTTTAAAACTATAATGTAATTGTACTAATCTGCACTACTATATTAAAGACAAACTTCGTGATTTTATATTGTTGCTTGAATAAAATATATATACACTCTAAATTAAGTGGCCAAAAATTGTAAGAATTACTTTTATCACAGACTGTACGCTCAAAATTCTGTACTACAATAAAAAGTTCTAAGGAGGTTGTTACAAAACCTGTATTCGAAGAAACTTTCCCAATTTTAAAATCAAGACAATGCCTGGTGTAAAAGCCCTATGAAACGTATAGAATAAAACTATATTAACAGATGCGACTTTTAGTTACTTGCTTCTCACCGTCGGCGACTCTTCTGTACTATGGGTGCTACCACTTGTTAGATCAACCCCACAAGTGATGGTGTTATGAATTAGCTTGGATTACGGGGAAAAACTTTGATCAACTTTTGAAGACTAGATCGAGGAAGGACGGATCTAAGAAAAATGATAAAGTTGGCTGGTCTAGAAGCATTGGTATGGTCTATAGACTAACATGCCATCGTTACTCACGTGGAATTAACTGGCTTAACCTTAGCTGCAAAGGAAATGTTGAAGGTACAATATTAGGATCTCCATGGATTATTGTCAGGCAATACTGATTCTCAATTTAAATTATCATACATACCTTTTTACCTTGTTACGCCTATTAAGAGCCCCGAAATTGGTTCTTTTTGCATGCATAATGAGGCTTTATTACACTATTCTGAAGTAAAGTATGGTACCTTATATGTTTTCAATGAGAGAAATTCCAGGGATGTAGAGAGAATCTTAGTTTTTTGGGGTCTATTGGGGAATACTTAAGGGAGCAGTCACATTATAGAAGTTTATAGCTACTAAAATCACAAAGCTTAGGGCTGCATTCGGCGGATGGGCAATGAAGCTAGGTTCTAAACGTCGGCTAATATTCCGCTTAGAATGACAACGATCTCGGCAATAAGCTGGTCAGCTTCGCTGGCACTGCTTTTAGTACGGCTTCCACTGGCTTCATACGAATCAGATTCGGATGTTTCTGTTATTGCGGGACTTTCAAGATTTGCCCGTTCACTTTCCACTTGCAAACGTTTTTTTTGGCCGCTCTGAAATCTGTTTAGCAAGCACAGAAATTCTTATTGGCGACACAGCAACATCCATTACTTTCCGTTTTTACGAGATTTGACCTGACTTGCTTCTAAAATGTACCTGTTTGGTTTGGCATGCCTTGTCACATACCTGTGACTGAACTTCTACTGATAACGGTTCAGGCAATTGATCTCCTCAATAACTTCCACGCCTTCAGGCTCGGACTTTTCGGTTGAGGATCCCGCCCGGCGTGCCGCCGCTGGCTGCAAATATTTGGCGATGTCTTTCTGCCTTGCCCTTTTTTCGCTGAATACTCGTTTCGTAGAGCTTAATTGTCTACCCAGTTGACATGCAAATTTATGAGGTGCAATATTAGGATTCATCCGGGCTCGAACGGTACTCATCTTGTATTGTAGATAGTTTTCCATATCTTTTTCCAGGTCAAAATGATCTTCGCAGCAGTACATGGTCCACGTGGAAGAAACTGATTTTAAATCCCGTCGAGCTGCGTCAAACCACTTTTTACGTTGTTCGCAGGAACACTCTTAAACATTTTTTTGTGGTATTGTACTTGACGTACTTGTACATTTTGGCACAAAACACCACTTTCTGTTCGACATTTAACACCGTCAAAGTTCACAGAATTTAACAATAATCTATCGTACCAGCTCTAACTACTACAAACCGATTACTGGGGTCTTGTTGTGATCTAACGAGGACACAACTACATTGCCATTTGACACCTGCGAGAACCTCTACTAGTAACAACATAACTGTTGCCTGGGTGGAGGGTCATTGACAATCCAAGGGTAATGTTGTACCTGAGAGATCGACAAAAAGGGATGCTGACATCAGAATTTTAGGCCCAATTATGTTTAACTGAGTTAAAAGATCACACTCAAAATGTATTTAAAAACAATTTTGAGGATATATCGGGGTGCTTAAGGAACTAGTAAAATACTAGCTGATTATTTCCAGACTACTTCGGATGGCAAAGGCATTGCTGAACATTGTCAGCTAAGGAAACATCTCTGTAATACTATATCCTTATAAAGAGGTTGTGGTAGGAAGATGATACAGTCAAGCACTTGCTTGAGACTGCCCAGCTGTCATATTAATCGAAGAATACATTCTGAGAGAACGCCGTTTTTCTATGGCTAGTGTAAGGGAAACTTTGCTGGATCTCATCACCACGTTTTCAATAGTTTAGGGTGGCTGATGATCCAACCTTGAGTAACCCCAGGAGAGGATGTATAAGGGGCCCACTAGTGCGTAAGTGATGTGATTCTGGATTATCGCTCTTCTTAAAATACATAAGCTGTTTCCTCATTACGAGAATTTATTCTGGAACAGCTTTGGCCTTCTGTGGCTAATGTAAACAAATCTCCGCATTATTTAATAGTTTAACGGGGTTGATGATCCAGCTCTGAGTTACTTCTGGGGATGACATACAAAGAGCGCAACAGAGAGCCAATACTAAGTACAGAGATGCATATTTTCAAATGGTCTTTCACTCCTGGTTGGAAGTACGGCTGTTATAAAAAATTGATTCCTTAGAATTTGCGACTGCTTAAGTTCAATCGGAAGCTTTGCTAATTTCTTCTTTCAGTCTTCTCAGTTGTTCGTAACCTAATTTTGCCATGACATCAAGAATCCTTTCATCCTTTAGAAGTACGTCTTCGAACCAAACATCTAAAGGGTAGTCGAAATGGATTCCTCCGTATCTCTTCGGTAGATATTTTGGTTCCATCTGATTGTGAAGGCTATCCAGATCGTCTCCATGGAAGTAGATCCTGGCTTTCACTGTATCTGGAAGCAAGGGTTTGAAGATGCTCCACGCTGTATCGAATACCCACGAGGAGAAGATGAAGTGAACTTCTTCTAGCCGCATTGGGAAACTTGTCTGAAAATATTTTTAAAGTTAGTAACGAATTCGTAAAATCAGAAAAGGAGTTAAGGAATCTTGCTCTCTAGTTTTCACGAGCTAAACGAACAAAAAGTTGAAGTTGAAATTAAAAATTGGTGCAATTTTGGGGTATCTCTAGTTAAGTAATAGTTTGCGTACTAAAAACTCTTTGTTCTCTCTTGAAGAATTGCAGTCAAAATATCAGAATCAACTATGCTAAACGATCACACCCACAAATTCTTCAAATGAGCTTGGGCCGTTGAAATTAATTTCTATGGCGCCTTGTGATGATATTCTTGATTCGCTATGATAATTTTGATATCTGCCTATATCGATCTTCTATATTCAAATTATCATGGCATTGTGAGGACTATCAGAGCGAATCAAGTATATTGAGCCGCATTCATAAAAGAGAAGCATATCCTCGGAAGCATAAGGTAAAAGTATAAGGTCTTGCTTCGGAGAAAATGGTAGAAGTATAAGCATATCCTTGTTTTCATATTCATAATGATTACCTTATACTCGCGAGGATATCCTCCAAGAAGAAGTAAAAGGTTGACTCGTATTTGTATCTTGAGCGACATGTCCTGACTTGTTCCAGCTTGTAGTTGACGTGGGAGTTCGTTCACTCAACATCACTGACAGTTGTACTCCAGATCTTACACAGACCGTTCCGTATTTTTACTGGGTACAGTTTTGTATCAAATTAATAAGCATGTCATCCTCAAGTGATGAGGAAGCTTATAGAAAATAATGGCAACGACCATCGCAGATAAAATTGCCATTGCTCCCATTATTTTGCAAAAGTCACAAGTTCCAAAAATAAAAATGAGAATGGACGATGCCTTGAAGAAGATGTTGAAAAAATTCGAATCAACATTCGGTAAACCATTATTAAAACCTTATTAAAAAAAATCAACAACATGAAATCGAGATTGAAGAAAAAACAGATCTAAAAGGAACTGGTAATAAAGCAATTAAATTGTTAGTTTGGGAAGGCAAGTTGCTGAAAGCTATGGAAGGTGACTGTAATCCTGCAATTGAAAGAATTAGAAGTGCCAATCAGGTTGGTAGTTTTCAAGAAGAAGGAAGTGAACTACATATACCGAGCGCAGTGAGCAAACAGTTAGTACTACAGCGCCAGCAAAAAGAGAATTAGCAACAGAGAAATACGAAACTGAGGAAACCAAAGGGTTAACTACAAAAGAACTGCAACCTCTAGTGCTATTACAGCAGTACCAAACAACTATTTTACAACAAGAGTATTATAAAACGAAATTAGAAATGATACAGTGTCAGAAGCTACCTGTAACTTAGGATGTTCACGAAAATAAAACTTATTATAACTTATAAATACACTTTAATCAGTAAAACTATTTATTATAATACTCAAGTTTCTTTCTCTTTCTATTTGTTGACCTAGTTGGCGGAGAGGATTTTCTTCATTCTTAAGATTTCCTTCATCTTCATCTGGGTCTTGTTCAACTAACTCAAAGTCAGGATCGCCCAAGCTCTTCGCAACATTATGGAGTACAATACAAGCAATAATTATGTTCAGCACATTTTCCAACTTTAGGCGGCAAACATACGGTAGGATAGGAAACCGGCATTTCAGTTGGCCGAAACAGTGTTCAATTATAACTCTTTCTTGTTTTAAAACATTATTATAATATATTTCTGCACCTGAAGTAGGATTTCTGAAGGGAGTCATAAGGCATGGCTCAATACCATAACCGTCATCGCCAAGTAGTACGTCATTTGCTTTATTTATGAGTTGTGATCTAGTCTGTGAATTTTTCATTATTCTGGAATCATGCATTGATTCAGGCCAACTGAGATCAATACTTGTGAACATTTCTCTGGCATCACAAGTGGCTTGCACATTTAAAGTAGGTTTCACTTTTGGGTTGATATACTCATCTCCATGGCGATTTGGTTTATATGTGTACAATCAATTACACCAATTGCTGTCGCAAATGTAAACATGCTTTGCCATATCGGCTTGCCTCCATAAGTTCAAGGTTGGTAATTGGAAACTTGATCCATCGGTTCGACTGTGCAACTATGCTGTTCACACCTCTATCCACAGTCCGAGATACCGTTGCTTGACTAACACCAAGTTCCTGACCAATACCTTGTAGATATCCAGGGCTACCGAGATAGAGTAGACATATTTTCATTTTATGAATACATGAAAGTGCTCCTCCTTGAGTTTCCTCATTCTCAACTAAAAATCTGTCCGCAAGCCATTGTACTTTTGCTTCGTCGAACCGCTATAATTTTTTGAAGTCACGACCAAGTGAAGGTAAACGACGTTTGTACGTTTTAACATCCCTAACATCCACCTTTCGTTATGAAGTTGTGTCGGCTACTGACCACACTCAGAATTTTTGCAGGATATGCTTCCTATGCTAAGTATAAGGTGAAGATTATGAATATCCTTTTAGTTATGTCACTGCTTTGAAGGATATGCTTATACTCAAAAAGCAAAAGCATTTGCTTCAAATTATTATAAATACCATCTGGAGGATTTCCTTCAAAATTTGCAAGTACAAGGATATCCTTTGTTTTATGAATACGGCTCCTTGTCACAAGGTGCTATCGAAATTAATTTCAATGGTCGAAACTCATTTAGAATCAGGTCCCTAGTTGCTTATTCATTAGATAATTAATTAAGCAGATATGTTAATGAAGTAGTGCAATGCTACTTGTCTATGTCTACAAGACAGCTTAGGTTTTCTACTGACATTTCGATTAGAGACTAGGCACAGGCATCGAAGGAGCATATCTAAATTATGAGACAGTTAAGTTCTTGCTTTGTGAGTACCTAGCTGGTTCTAACGAAATGAAAGCTCTGTTCGGTCATAATCACTGTCATACAGGTATCACTAGGTTCTTCAAAAGTTTGAGGTAGCCGACGCATACAAAATACAGAGTTCGTCTTCATGCCTTTTTTTGAACTAGGATACTTACCATAGCTAAAGCCATAAGATCTTTGGCCAATGAAGGAGTAAGGTACCATGCAAGATTGAGCGATATATCGCCGAGGTCCACAATGAAAACACCTCCCTTTATTTGACATTTGGGCTCTAAGACTGACATCTCCAATATTCCGATAGCAAGCTGGAATAGTTCTGGTATCGTGAATTCTTCTGACTTCCAGCTCCCTGCAAGGATAGAAAATAATCAAACAGTTAATTCTAATAGTATTTATTGGTTACATTGACCACACGAGTTACAGCTAATTAAAAATAGATTATATATTGTCTTAAAAACTATCAGAAGCTTCAGACCCTTAGATAAACCAAGCTTGGGGACGTCAAATGCGAGTTGTAGAAGACTACGGGGCTCACAGTTCGAGAGACATTCAAGAATGTGAGTGGCATGGTTTTTCTTGATAAACGCATGCCATATTCTATAACACTGTATAATTAGTCTTTCGTTAACGTCTTAGTTGCCAGTGGGTAAAATCTACATTCATTTTTGTCCTTCCTGCTGTACCTAAACTCATGTTAGCGTCTTGCTTATCTGTTTCACCAGTTCGGTAATAGGCATGGTTGATAGGGTGAGACGAATTATAATAATCGAATTAGCCTACTTATACTTCGACTGACAATTCAATAATCTTTCTTTGCCCAATAAATAATATTTATCTATTTTTTCAATCAATGGTACCATACTCATTGTTATGTATTTAGGTATATTTTTCATATATTTTTCACATTTTTTGTAGCCATGTGGAAGGCGTAAAATATACGTCGAAACGTTAATAATTTGATTACAGGCATTTTTCAACACCTGTTGATTTATCCCAAGAATCCAAAGAAATTGAAAGCACATAACAGGCACTGGGATGGGAAGTTATTCCTTTTGTATACACATTGTAGTTATTATAGCACTTAGTAAAATTTTGTCGGTCAGGGTGATCCTGTACCGAAATCGAATAACGCTGGAACATGTCAAAACTTGCTAGCGCTAGCTAAAGTATTGCAGTGGTCGTTTGTTCTATTAGTAAACGCACTGTTTTCGTTCAGTCAACAGGAAGTACGTAGTTCTAGAAAGGGAATGTTTTTAATAGGGGACGTAAACATCAAATTACTGGATCAAAGCTTCCCTCATTACAGGGAACTATAATATCCGAGAAGTGAAACTAAGTGTCAATGAGAGCTTTACTACTCTTGAGTGCATTATTTACTGGGAAAATGCACGTATACCAACTAAATCTCTACCTAACTGTGTTAAGGAACTAGTTACTTTATAAGTTTGGAGATATTTGCAAAAAACTGCAAGCAAAGCACAAGAAGTGTTTGAGCAAGGTCCACAAGAGTTTGTGACGATCGTTACAATCTGTTTGATGGAAATAAGTGAAGATATTAAATAAGTTTCAAATGTTGAAATTGATTTCGATGGCGCCTTGTGGCGATATACTTGATTCGCTATGATAATTTTGACATCTGACTATATTGATCTTCTACGTTATATTCAAATTATCATGGCAGTGTCAAAATTATCATAGCCAATCAAGTGAATCGACACAAGGCTTCACCGAAATCAATTTCAACTTTCGAAACTCATTTAGAATCAGGCCCCAGGTCATTTAGCTGGGGTGGACAAGAAATTAGCCATAAAAGAAGAAACGCCGAAGAACAAAAGCGGCGAGCTAAATATGCTGCTTCCTTAACTCCTTCGACATCATCTTATGAACAAGCACAAGAAAATTCATCTTTAGATTCCGAGATAGATTTACAAGAAACATTGCTCATTTCAACACAGAGCTACACATCCTGATACTAATCAAAGCAAACGTTTCATAACTCTAAAATGTGGCAACATTAGATAGATGTCAGTTAAGTATGAGAATTGATGATTTTATTATTGGAGCAACCATTGAGGCACTTGGAAATAACACTGACGAGTTTCCTATAAACAAGTCCTCCATTCAAAAAATTCGTACCGGAAAGCGAAAGGAGCGCGCAGAAGCTATAAAGCTTGATTTCTAAAGCGACGTACCGAATACTATAGCTGTCAACTGGGATGGCAAATTGTTGCTACCTTTAAAGAACTGCAAGTCTAAAGAAGAACGTCTACCGATTGTTATAACGTATGAAAATAAAGAGCAACTTATTGCTGTTCCTAAATTGGATAACCCTTGAGGCAACGAGAACGCTCAGACAGTTTGGGATAAAGTTCAGATTCTCGGTTGTGATACTACTGCTTCAAATACGGGTCGCAATAACGGTGCCTGCGTGCTTCTCGAACACAAACTTAATAAAGAAACGGTGCTAATTGTTGTTAAAAGGCATTTTTAAATAAAACATCGACCAAGATGAGGAAACTAAAGTAAAAATTGTTGTTATTTTAGCCAAAGAATGTCCATCAGTCTACGGTAAGCGCTGCATCCCATCGAAAGAAGAACTCTTCCCACTTTATGGTAAGTCTAACGAATACATTTCCCATGTCTTCTTTTACCGGTTCGACATTGTCACGTGCCAAAATCACGTAACCTTTCTTTTTACTGTTTTGATCACTTATGAGTAATTTTAATTTCTCTCCATTGATTATACTGTACCGATTCCTAGGCCAAACCTTTTTCAATGATTTTCTTCTGTTAAATTTTATAGTTTATTGATTGTAGAATTTCTCACGTATTATATCTGTCATTCTCAGCGACTCAGTATTGTATTGAAATCTTTCTTCTATCTGAGAAATTTTCTCATAAAATATTGTTGATCTCTCGTAAACAGATTTGTTTCCGCCTACAATCTGCCCATCGGCAATCAGGGCGCCATCTTATGATTTTTATATGTACTAGCTATATATGAATGCCTACCTTCCTATTAAGATACCTTCTTTAACGGCTTTTATCTGTTCCTTTTGATGTTCTGACGAACGTGTTTTCTTCAGGGCAACTTATTTAACCTCCTTTTAGGGGGTTGCGTGCGCAGACGATCCAGCGCCATTTTTCTTTTTGCCGTAGTTTTGATTGTGTGCGGGCGTTTTTTTTCGTTAACTCCCAGATTTTGGGATATTAGCGCCCCAAGCACCAGTTTATGGAGTAGTACCCTTTTATTTTGTACCTTACGTTTGTTTGTGTTGGTGGGTACTACCCCGTCCATTTTGTAATGGGATTTTAACCTACAGCGGTAAGTTCTCATTTGTATACCACGTCCTTTAATGCTTGTCCTGAAGAAGTTTGTTCAATATCTGATTGCTTTTAGTGGAAAGCCATTGTGGAGAATCACTATTCACACTCCTCCAGCTTTGTTTTGTAGCTGCCTTGTAGCTGTTTCGCAGCCGATTTTGTTGGAAGCCATCCCCTCCCTTTGATAAAAAAACCTTGATATGAACAGGTAACATATAATTTTAATTGGGTATTTTATAGATATCAATATATTGATTGTTGCTGACTGAAATTCTTTGTGTAATCTTGATTTTGTTTGGCATTTTACGAATTCAAATATAGGGTAGTGCCTACATGTCACTGTCTTCTGGCCTTATTACTTTACATTAATCATGATTTTGAACTTTCAGCTGCCATAACTTATTTTATAACAAGGGATAACTTTCTGAGGGTATATCACTTTGGTATATTTTTATCTTTTCTTGCGCTTGCAAAGGAAAAGTAAATTTCTAGTAATAAAGAATGTACATAGATTTTTCTTCAAGTTTTGAGTCTTTTAAATGTGTAGTTCAGTCTCAGACATAGTGTAGAGAGTAGATTTTTAAACAGTCTTTTTTATTTTTTTTATACCATAAATTTGGGGAACGAGGCAAGCAGCCCCTATCTTGTGACATTCCTTACGCCACTGCTCACTACTGGCCACTGATTTTTGACCTGAGTTTTTGAGAGCTGAGAACAGCACAGCTGCGCCTAGAGCTGTAACTGGAAGACCATTGTCCAGATAAGTTTAGGTTTAGGTGTTGAAATACTTGTAAGACCTATATTTGTACGTATACCATGGTAAACGTTTTGGAGAGTTAGTTATTACGGTAGTTTTTAATAACATATTTTCTTTTAACTTACATTCCAGTGGTGGAGCATATGTGCTGCTTGTTTTGGCAATATATTGTGAATTTTTTTGTAGATATTTTGTTTTATTTGGCTCTCTGTATACAGTTAATTAGGTTTCATTATTACTATTAGATTTTTTTTCTTTGTGTGGTGGTCAAGCAAAACAAGTTCTGACTAAAAACTCGTGGATTTGTGACTTAATTCGTCTTGAGTCACTGGCGCTCTTAACACCCCACCTACTCTCCGATTTATTGAGCTAGGGCCTAAATTTGCACGCCACTTGACAGCTGTTTTGCATTGGCCTACCCTTAGATTTCATTTATAGTAATTTATTAATTCATTAAAAAAAAAACAGAAAAAGAGGAATTACACTATTTCGTCATATTTATAAAAAAGGCGTGGCGACATAATAAGCTAATTGTTAAAATAAGCCAGCATAAACTGGCAATAGATGACACCCTATACTATTTTGCTAAAATAGATTTTATACCTCAGAGGTTACTTGTTATCCTTTCGTTCGTTGTCCTGACCTGAGACCAAAAGCCTAGACGATGCTGATGAGTTGTCAAAAAGCACAAAATATATGTCCATGGTTGACTGTCTGTGGTCGGACGTATGTTAAGATGGTACCTTTTCTTCGATTTTTCATTTCACAGAAAAATACCGATGACTTTGTTTCAATCAAAAGCAAGTCCTTGTTCAGTCGACTCAAAATTGATGACGTTTTCTCGACTAGTGTCCAACTTCATGGCCACATAATGATTATATTCAACCCGCTAAGAATAAGGTGCAAACACTGACAGCAGTTAACGATACGGCAGAAAGAGCAGTCAACCTAATGTAAAACTTCCATGGCTTCCAGGAACAAAAAAATTATTATGTTTGACCGATCGCAATATTTTTTTGAGTTGTTAGAGTAAAATGGAAAAAATTAGAGGATATGCATATTCCAATTCGAACAAAAATTTGTTTGCCCTCATAAGCTGGGCACCCTATTGAACAGCCCAAAGTAAGTAGAACTCTTCAGACATATTGTTCTACAATATCGACTTCCCAGGAATAATGAAACAATTCTCCTGATATGGTTCATTCAATCGTACGGTTTTACTTCTTTGCCCATCAAAGACGGAAAACAAGGCTGTTAAAATTTCAGTGACGAAATAATAAACCCATAAAAACAATGGTTATAATCTGATAATGATTTTATTGTGGTACCCGGTTATTTCACACCTTTTTGCATTTTTCTCATTGTTCTTCACTGCAATTATACCTTTCACTGTTTCGCGAAAAGCGATTTATTACGTGGGTAACTGGGAATCAGATTTTTTCTGGATACGAACAAAGTAGCAATTATACGTACGTAACTACGGCGTGCCCATATGGGTGGAGTTCTTTTGTACAAACTCTGTACTCTGCTATTACCCACCTTGAGAAAGATGGCAGATACATGATGGTCTGATTTTGAAATAGCTGGTTTACGTAATAAGATTTGTAGTTTTCAGTTACACACGATCCATTATTTTTGAGCTGAGCCTAAATTTCTCTTTATACTTTATACTTGAGTAGCGACAGATGTTGCAGCGTAAGGGCGCAACGTGTCACGACATCACATACAGCATAATACATGACCCCCGGTATCATTGGTTCTGCATAATCTGAAACTTCATTATTGCCAAGTGTAAATAGTAGCTAGGTATATAGTACATCGTGGTGAAACGCACATGTTACTTGTTTGTCCACGATTATATGTTTAGATAGTGGAAAAGGTTTTGCCCAGTGCTTCAATTTTCATGATTTGCAAGTAGCTACACGTCCCACGTAGTACTACAGTGATCGATTATTTAAAAAGTTGACGTGAGGTAGTATTTTCAAAATATAAATTCTAAATGCATCTCATGTATATCATCCTATGCATAAGTCTGGCCCCAGGCACCAAGGCTATAAACTGTCAGTCGTGCGAGGCGACTTTGTGGGATATCTACAGGATGATTGGCCAAAGTCGGACAACCAACCCCGGTGCGGTGGCGGGAATATCATCTGAGGGATTTTTAGAGCTAGATCCTTGAGCTGTGTGTGTCTAGGGTCGCTGATCCGAACAATACAGTATGGATCGATGACGACCTGTCAATAAAGAGAACAATGATGATAGTTTTAGCGTCGCAGCCCATTGGAAGAGCTTCTACGAAGCTGTTGTGAGCATGCTCTGTGATGAGGACGTGTGTCATGGGTGCAAGACTTGGAATCTTGCACTTCTGCGGGTGAGTATCGGTCCATCCATGCACTTAGGGACCGGTTAAGCGATAGCTGGGCTTCAGGGAACTGGGATAGGAAAATGCATCTTGAGGTACACTCGTTTCTATTTATATCGACCCGTCCCTTTCCACACGAAACGCGAACACAAATAAACCTTGAAATTATATTCAGAGGCTGTAGATTAAACGGCTTTATGGCTTTTGATATTTGAGTTGTTGAAAACGTCTTAGTAGTGCAAGTACCACTGACGAAATTAAAATTTTATAAAAACTTAATGGCGCATTTTAATAAGACAAGTAGCGCTTGGAATTCTTATTTCACTGGCTACAGCCCAAACGGCTTGATGGATTTCGACTTGATAGTTTAATAGAAAACTCATTCTTTTCGGTTATTGCAGTCTAGCTTTGTGTATTTTGGAAGCTGTACTTGGTAGCTTGTATGCGATGTAAAAGTAATGATAATCAAACATCGTTTATGTATGAAAATCTTCAATTTGTACATATTTGAAAGTAGGCATATGTGAATGCTTGGCAAGTACCAGAACAGTTTAAGAGACACTATTTTTCCGGATTTCTTTTTTTATTAAATCATCTATAGCTCTAGACGGTTTTAGTCTTTCGAGATTCCCTGAATCTGGAGATAGAACCAAGTGTGATACTCATAGATGTTTCATAGGAGTCTTAAGATCATAACGGTTCGGAGAAAGTTTCGAAATTGCGAAGATAAACGAAAGAAACCAAATTCTGCGAAAATGAGATGTGATTTCAAAATAAAAAGGTCTTTGGCACTGCCTCTTTTTCTCCTCTACAAGATAACATAGTTAGAAATGAAATATGACGTTTTGTGTCTTGTCCTCAGTTATTAACCTAATTTTTGGCATAGTTGGTCTTGTACATTCTTATGCTTTCATCAATTCCGTAAGTATTTTTTCCTAATATACATAATTTATAATAATCAAATAGGTATCGCAAAATATACACGTTTATTAGGATTCCTGAAAAAATTCAATGGATCCGATAATAATATTACACAATACCGAAAGTCGTAGGTACAGTTGTTATATTGAGTGTTCTTAAATTTTCTTCACGTGGCGTAAAAAGGCAAATTTTTGCAAGCAACAAGTGCAATGTGTAGATAAACCGTTCCTTTTGTTTAAAACAAAGAAAATGGCATGTTCCTATAGCCATATGATGTTAGTTTATGGCAGGTGTTTTCATTATCTTACTGATGCTTCCAGAGTGTATTCAGATTTCGCAAAGTTTGAAAGAAATCGAACGTTTTGTTCTTCCAATAATCCCTATGTTTACAGGGACTCGATATTATCTCGTGTTATTCCATTTTTATCACAAACGATTCAATAAAGGTGTTCAAAAACTGATCATGTGGCATTAAAATGTTACCATGAAATTTGAAGGAAATCTTCCATTTCGGTTCTGAAATACTTGGTTGGAAAGTTGATAAGCCGATGAGTTTTGTTTCATTGATGTTTTCCCATAATATTTCACATGAAGTTAATTATAGAAGAAGTTGACCGTATGAAACATAGACAGTATCCGAATATTACTGCAGAACTGGATGGACCCTATACAGGGTGTTTCGGTCAGGGTGTTTCAGTTTATTGTTGCATAACTTTAAGATTCGATAGAACTTTTAAAATTAATGCATAAAGTCTATATAAACATGGGTCGAAAAATGCGTGGCTTCCGAAATACAGGGTGTTTAAATTTACTTTTTAAAATAGTTTTTTTTAAATCTTTCGAACAATATTTGATGTATAACAGTGAAAATTGGTATACAAGAGTTTTTTGGTACGACAAAACGTAACATGGGCATAGCTTTACTGTAGCCGCTAGAGGGCGCTCTCTACTGTACCTGTAGTGCATTAAAATGGCCGAAATTTTTTTCTTAGTGCAATTTTTTGCTTTTTGAATAAAGAAACTGATTCTTCGCACTTTTCAACATAAAAAAGCTCTCTTGTGAATTTTCGTTATAGTTAGCCGTTTTTGAGATATTTCGATTTTTAAGGTTCGATGCATTTTTAATTATTTATGATAAAATAACGTTAATAAGTCAGTATCTCGATAATTTTTAGAAGTAGGCTGTACCTGCAAATATTTTTGAAATTGAAAGCAGAATAAGGTAAAACGTCAATTAGTTGACAGTTAGTTTTGTTGTATGTTGAAACCTGAAACGTTTTTCTGCAATTGTGAATGCACGAAATTTAGTTTCTTTAACCTGTTTTTTTTGTAAGTTTTATAAAAATGCCATTTTTATTCTCCAATCAAGAGTTAGCGGATATTCATTTTGTGTATGGCTTTGTAAATGGAAACGCAGCAGAAGCAGCCAGAGAATACGCACGAAGATTTCCAAACAGACGACATCCAACTCGCTCAGTATTTGTAAGAGTGCATCGCCAAATAATTGAAAATGGTTTTGGAAATCTCCAAAGGGATCAAAACATAAATGTTCGTCAACGCAGATTTACCCGTATGATTCTGCGTGAGTTTGATAGAGATCCGACCACAAGTTTTAGGAGAGTTTCTGGTGCCTTGGGAATTTCAGCAAGTCATGTTCACCGTGTTCTTAGAAATGACCATAGACGTCCTTACCATTTGCAACATGTGCAAGGACTACAGCCAGGGGACGGAGAACGAAGAATTATATTTTGTCAGTGGATTCTTGATAGAACTGATAATAATAGGGAGTTTTTAAGTAACGTTTTATGGACCGATGAGTCATGCTTCACTAGACGTGGAGTGGTAAATTTTCATAATCAACATATTTGGTCGCATGAAAATCCGCATGCAGTTCGGGAAAGAAATTTTCAGCATGAATTTAGTGTGAACGTGTGGATTGGTATCTACCGTAATCGACTATTTGGACCCTACCTTTTGCTTCCAAGGTTAAATGCTGCGACCTTCTTGGAATTTTTAAAGGCTGAACATGCAAATATGTGGGATGATGTTATGTTAGATTTAAGAAGATTGGCCTGGTTCCAGCTTGATGGTTGTCCAGCTCATTATTCGAGAAATTGACTGGACTGGACGAAAATTATCCAGAAATATGGATCGGCCGTGGAGGACCAGTCGCCTGGCCTCCACGATCCCCTGACCTAAATTCATTAGATTTCTTTGTGTGGGGATTTCTAAAAGAAAAAGTGTACCAGACTCCCGTAACCACAAGAGATATGCTAATAGACAGAATCAGGAATGCATGTGATGAAATAAGGCCTTATTTGAATAATGCTATACCACGTTCGATCATTCGTAGATGTGAATTGTGTATTGAACAATTGGGTTTACATTTCGATCAACTACTTTAGATTTTGTATGTTTGTCCTAACTATCCAATAGCATTTTAGTTGTAAATAATTCATTTAATTTGTTAAACATATAATTGTAAAATTAAACAAATTAATTTTCTGTTTTTTTGTGTTTATTTGGAGTTAGGAATTATTGCTGTGTTTAAAAACACAATCTAAACGATCATCAAAAAAATATTATTTTCCCATAAATAATTAAAAATGCATCGAACCTTAAAAATCGAAATATCTCAAAAACGGCTAACTATAACGAAAACTCACAGGAGAACTTTTTTATGTTGAAAAGTGCGAAGAATCAGTTTTTTATTCAAAAAGCAAAAAATTGCACTAAGAAAATTTTTTCGGTAATTTTAATACACTACAGGTACAGTAGAGAGCGCCCTCTAGCGGATACAGTAAAACTATGCTCATGGTTCGTTTTGTCGTACCAAAAAACCCTTGTATACCAATTTTCACTGTTATACATAAAATATTGTTCGAAATATTAAAAAAAAAACTATTTTAAAAAATAAATTTAAACACCCTGTATTTCGGAAGCCACGCATTTTTCGACCCATGTTTATATAGACTTTATGCATTAATTTTTAAAGTTCTATCGAATCTTAAAGTTATGCAACAATAAACTGAAACACCCTGTATATACCGTGCTAGTTTTCAATGAAATGAATACTCCGCTGTCTCAACCAACTATTATTGGTAGCCCAGGAAAAATCATAAGTTAGAAGTTCTTTATAGACATAATAGGCAAAAGAGGAGCAAAAAGTAGTGATTTTTTGAAAAAACTTATAAGTGGCAATATCTCGAAAACTAGAAAGCTTTTACTAAGGTGTCCCGTGTTTACTATGACGTGTTATTTCCTGGACAGCCTGTAGATATCTATGATGTATTTTAATGCATTGTCCTGATTTTGTGTTGATAGTCATGATAGCTTGAACTGTTTTCCGAACAGAACTAACAAAATGTGCAAAAAGAAAAAATAATTTAATACTGCACGCCAAAATTAGAGATTTATATATATATATATATATATATATATATATATATATATATATATACTATATCAGAAAATAGGATAGGTAACCCGAGCGATACGTATTTCTGCTGGTTGGCTTCATCAGACCCGAAATGAATACACATATGCAACTACAAAAGTAGATACACATACCCACACATACGGATACGGGTGTAACCTGAGGAAACGAAGATGGAGAGGAAAAAAATCGACAAACGAGGTCCACAACAAGAGCCAACCTAAACATTGTAGTATAAAATTGCTAGAAGACCTCGAATTCTCAAGGAGACATCTAACCACAACCACGCGGCCGGTTATAGCCACTTGCTGTGGTACTTCAAGCCCAAAGGATCTACAAAGAGAAAATGATCATGCGGAGAACCGTATATAACAAAAAGTAGGAAAATAATGGGCAAAATCCGCAAAAAGGAGGAAAGTGGATTCGAGCAGAAAATAGGATAGCGATACGTATTTCTGCCGGTTGGCTTCATCGAGCCCGAAATGAATGCACATATGCAACTACAAAAGTAGATACACATGCCCACACATACGGATACGGGTGTAACCTGGGGAAACGAAGATAGAGAGGAAAAAAATCGGCACACGAAGTCCACAACAAGAACCAACCTACACATTGTAGTATAAAATGGCTAGAAGACCTCGAATTCTCAAAAAGAAATCTAACCACAACCACGCGGCCGGTTATAGCCACTTCCTGTGGTACTTCAAGCCCAAAGGATCTACAAAGAGAAAATGATCATGCGGAGAAAGGTATATAACAAAATGTAGGAAAATAATGGGCAAAATCCGCAGGTTACACCCGTATCCGTATGTGGTGTGGGCATGTGTATCTACTGTTGTAGTTGCATATGTGTATTCATTTCGGGCCTGATGAAGCCAACCAACAGAAATACGTATCGCTCGAGTTACCTATCCTATTTTCTGCTCGAATCCACTTTATTCCTTTTTGCGGATTTTGCCCATTATTTTCCTACTTATTGTTATATACCTTTCTCCGCATGATCATTTTCTCTTTGTATATATATACATATATATTGAGGGCACATGTACAGACAAATCTGTGATGTACAAATATGTTTAATAGGTGCGTAGAGTTACCGAGGTTGGGAGGTATAAATTTGCTAACATTAAAGAATTAAAC